CGGTCGTGGGGCTTGAACTCAGGGCCTGGGCGCTGTCTCTCAGCTCTTCAGCTCAAGGTGAGCGCTCTACCGCTTGAGCCACAGTGCCACTTCTGGTTTTCTAGTGGTTTATTGGAGATAAGAGTCTCACGGACTTTCCTGCCTGGGCTGGCTTTGAACCGCGATCCTCAGATCTCAGCGTCCTGAGTAGCTAGGATTACAGGCGTGAGCCACCAGCGCCTGGCTTAAGAAACTATTAAAAACAAATCTAACCTTTAAAAAAAAAATTGTGCGTTTTATCATTTCTCTGAAACTAGACAGATTAAGAAGAGCACATGGCTTGATGTGGTGGTGCACACCTGTAATCCCAGCAGTTGAGGCTAAAACAAGATGGCTGATAGTGAGGTTACATATACCCTATTTTGAAACAACAACAGAAATCTTTTTAATGAGGAAAGTGTACAGAAAGTAATAGAAAAGAGGAAAGTGGCAAATTAGAATTCGCCAATGAAGGTGGAGATGGGGGCAGAAAGTTTATTCCAGACATCACCCCAGTCTTGTTGGGAGTCTGGAAAGCAGTGGGGGGGGGGGGTCCCACAAATATTCATTACTCTAAGGGAGTTGAACAAGGCTCAACTGCTTGAAGGAAGTGGGAAAGGCGCAGGCAGTACCACTAATCACCACAAGGTGGCAGATGCCAGGACACCACTGGAACAGACACTAACGGGGAGACTGGCAGGCGGCCTCATTTAGTGGGAGGCAGAGGATAGTGGAGAGTATCTCTGCGCTGTGAAATCTGCACCCTGTAGGAACTCTGGATCCTGATTCCACAAACATCCACTGTTTTCAAAGATGCACCCGGCCCTCCTCTACACAAAGACAGTGTTCTTAAGAGGACCAAGGGTCCTCACAGTTTGCCTGAAATCACTGATCACAGGATGGTACCAAGAGCTGATGGAAATCATAATCTAGCATTAAAAACAAAAAAGTTAGCGACACCCTGACACCAGCAACACAGGCAACAACAATAGAAAGATGAACTCCAGTACATCAGACACTGTAGAGCATGCATCAGAAGACACACCGAACCCAAGGAATGAAGACACTACCTGCCATTGTGTGTCTGATAAAGGATGAAGTATCTTGATATGCAAACCACTCCACAACAGACATCCCAATGCACTTCAAAACTGGGCAAGTTTTAAACAGACATTTGTTCAAAACATATCAATTGGCTAATAAGCACATGCAAGAGATATTCAGTCACTAGTCAGAGAAATATAAATTACATGCAGTATCACTTCACATTCATGAGGACCAAACTAAACCAAAACACACACATACACAAAAACAACAACAAAAGAAAACCCACAGAAAATAACAAGTGTTGGTGACAACGTAGAAAAACTGTTTCTCTTGAACACCGTGGGGGAGAATAAAAAACATTGTGTAGTCGCAAAAACATGATCCAGCATTTCCTTTGAGCAGGGACTTACACAGATACTTGGACACCAAAGCTCACAGCAGCATTGAAGTCTGAAGGTGGAAAACAAGCCAAATATCTGTCCACAGGTGAATGGATAAATAAGACTGTGATAGACACGAACAACAGAATATTTTTCAGCCCTAAAGTGGAAAAAGGTTCTGATACATGTTACAGAGTGCAAGAACTTGGAAATACTATCCAAAGGAGAGAGGGGCAGTACAAAGGCAAAGACAAGTCATATGACGCCATTTACATGAGATATCTAGGCTGGGCCACATCAGAGAGACAGCAAGTAGAACCATGATTCCCAGAAAGAGAGAGAGGGGGGGGGGGGGTAGAGAGAGAGAGAGGAGGGATGGAAAGAGATTGGGAACTGCTCGCTTTGTGGGGGACAGAGTTTATGTTGGGGAAATGAACAGCTCTGGGTAGACACGGCTGCCTTCCATTGTGAACGTACTGAATGCCCTGAGATTCCCTAAACATGGTTAAAACAGTCAATTTTGTGTTGTGTATATTTTACCCACAATAAAATAGTGAAGGCACTGAGCACAAGGATAAAGGGAGACACGCGCAATGGTAGGGAAGCCATGATCGGACAGGAGAGCGTGTGCACGGAAGACCAGCGGAACCCCAAATTCTAACCATCTCCATACAGCAGCAGCTCCAAGGCTGCACCCATTCTTTGATACTGCAGCACCGCCATTTCTCAGGACCAGCCCGTGTTTAGGATGTTCAGGAAATCCCTCGGTCAGAGGGGTTTCCATCTCACATTGCTGGCGAGTGGAAAATGTGTAAGATACAGGCGCTGACCGTTTTGCTGTCTGGTTTACCTTGCTGCTGTGACCTCACAGGTTAAAGAGTGGAGTTCTCAATTCTACCCTTTGCGGGGCTGCTAAGTGCTACTGCGAGAGCTCCACCACCACGACTGATCGTGCCAAAAGCTTCCACTTCATCAACCACCATTACATGGGACCTGGCTGTCAACATCTAGAATGAGGAGAGGGATTCACACAAGCATGTTGTATGGTAGACACGAAGATACAGACAAGTTAGTTAGGACTCAGTGAGTACCCAGCATTCCTAAGGTACCAAGTGTCTGCCTCTTAAGTGAATCACCTAATAATCACACTTACTTGGGTCTCATGCATTCTTCGTTTGAGATATGTCTTCAGATAGCTGTTCAGCAGTGCATCACCAACGTACTACTGTCCCTAAGCCTTCCTGTCCATGATGATTGACTCATGGGTTCTTAGGGCTCTAGACACATCCCATGCACTTACACTTAATGCTGGCCCACAAACACTCCATGATTACCAAAAGCTGGGTGTAGAAGATGGAGGAAAGAATACCATTGGACCTGGACAATATCAAGAGAACTGACCTACAAATTCGCCAGTCACATATCTGGTCCCTGAGCTCATTCATGAACTGCAGCATCCAGAGTAGACGAATCTATACACGAGTGCTCTAACTCTTTTCTTTCTCCGTGTGGAAGTATACACAAACCACCATTCATTCGCTGCCCACTGCCCTTCAAACACCCACAGGCCAGTGTGCACAGGGCCACAAGAAGGGTAGGAAATCTACAGCTCAGGGGTCACTGAAGAGAGCCAGAGTCACCCCCAAAATGACATCACAAACAAGAAAAGTGCAAGATAATGTTGATTGGCAAGTGGAATTGTCCCATTTTGCCAAAGGGTAGGTGGTTTACTGAGGAAAAACAGATTTGTCACAGTAAGAAGCTTACATTTTTTTTTACATATGTGGATAATCATGCAAATAAGTTTATTGGTGAGCTCCTAGCAGGACTGATAGCAACAAAACCATTTCACACAAGCCACATGAGAAAGCAGTGCACGGAAGAATTGAGAAAGAGAAAGCAGATTAATCAAGGCATATACAAGTGTCCCACAGAGAGTCCGTAACACACGCACACGCACCCACACACAGCCATGCATACTGCATTATTTTGTCAGAAGACAAAAAATATGGCTGCATGTGATATGTCTATGCAGAAAAGTCCAAACTAAGAAACAGTGAATCAGCTCCTAATGAGTGATTTCGCTCTACCTTGATTGTTAGAGCAAAAAGACAAACAAAACAAACAAACAAAGCCCAGAGTCTGGGACTTCAAAAACTATCACAGTCCAGACAAGCTATGTAAATCGCCTGAAAAATGAAAGTATTTCTTCTGCTGGTAAAGTTGGGATACCACACAATCAAAGCAAACCCTCCGTGTTATCCATCCGTGATCCTAACTCATCTGCCACAGTGATTTGTTTAATGTCAGCTCCAAGTGGAATTTTGCCCAGGCATTGTGTATAAATTGAGGGGACGCATGGAGTTTCATTCATGGTCCGTCTCTGCTTGGTCAAAGCAGAGATGAATGGATTGGAGGCCACACCCAAATAGTCTTTAATCACCAGAGGTGACAATCAAGTCAGGTGATAATAAATGTGTTTCTATTGTCTCTTTCTCTATATGTCAAGTCTTAAGTATTTCTTTCATAAGTTGGAATAGTGGAAGATACAGCTCTATAGTAAAAATTGAAGCCAATATTTTACCCGTAGAGAAGTCAGATTTTGGAAGGAACTTTTTGGAATAAGAGCTAGGCAGGGGATGTGTACAGCTACAAATGTGGAGGCTGGAGGGGGGGAATATCACAGGATGCACTCAAGGCCGAGAAGAGGCAGCATCCACTAAGAAAAGCTTAGCTGTGGGGTTGTCCCAACACCTCATGACCATTCTGGGACTGTGAGTCACAACTGACCAGATGTTTCTACATAGTCAGTAGAGCATCACCAACCTATGTATGACAGCTTGCCGTTCTTCTTAAAACTGAAAAATTAAAATCTGATTTGATTTGGATTAAGTAAAAAAAAAAAGTAAGCGAGTGAACAGTTAATGTGATAAAAAGAATGTATTATTTTTTATTTAGTATCTGTAGGAACAAATATAAAATGATCTCTTAGACAATAATATGAACTCAAACTAGAACTATGATGCATATAAATATGCGTTTTCTATAAATTGAAGTGAAAGCTTACATTCTGTAGGCTGTGTCACTGACAATTACTCAATGACAGCAGAAAGTTTGGAGTAAACACCAGTGGCATTATTTATTCGTCTCAGAAATATGCAGGGCTCCCAGGCATGCTGAATACTATATTAAGATCAGTATACGTTTCTGAAGTTGGGAAAGGGTTTGTGAACACCAAATCAATCAGCCCTGCCTGCCTACCATCGCAGTGAGCATCCATGCTAAAACGGAACTCCCAGAATTACAGAAGAAACACGTGACTGCGCCATAGAAAACCGTCATTCACATACTCAAGAGGTGGTGTGCTGATGGCTGTTTTAGTTCCTTCTCAAGCTGGCCACAGGAGTTTTCCAAGTACGACCTCATGTTTCTTTAAGAGCAATGAAGCCCTAAATACTGAGGCTGCTCTAGCCTCTCTCCTAGTCTCCCACGCCCGCTTCCCCCACCCCCCCAACCCTTCACAGCACCTAGTGCACATAGAAGTCAGGTACTCACGACACCGATGGACAGTGCTCCAGCCCCCATTCTCTCTGGAAAGGTCTGGAAGAATCTGGAAGAACAGGAAAACATGAAAGGGATAGCAAAATTCTAAACTTTCACTCCATGGATATAAGCTTTGATTGGGGGCTAGGGAATAAGCTCCCAATCCAAAGATCCAAGACAGGTGAAGCGTTGGGCACAAGTTAAGAAGGGTAATTTTGCAGCTGGCTGGACAAAACCCATGTGTCTGGGTGGCTGGAGTTGAAATTCAATGCCGAGCCTCAGTGTGGGCCAGCAGTGGGGTCACGTGACTGGGTTTGCAGCCAGCCTCCCCTGCAGCTTGATTGGCTGGAGCCACACAGGGGCTCCTAGAAGCTGCTGGGCCTGGGGCCCCGTGTGGATTCACACAGCCCAGACTGCAGTAAGCAGGCTCAGGTGGCTTCCTGGTCCTTCTTCATTGCCCAGGAAAACGGGCTGAGTCCCGCACTGGTTTACATCTGCAGATTGCCTGTGGAAGTTTTCTATTGTCTGTGGTCTTTAAAGTTCCTAATTATTGGTAACAACAATACACATTTCAATGAAGACAGCATCACTGTCTCCTCTGTTTCATATATATATGTATATGTATATATATATATTTATCTCCGACACACTAAAAGAATGCTATTCATATGTGAGGCTTCATTTGACTCTGCTTTAAAAGATTTAGCGTGCAAATAACATCAACATTACATGTTATCTTAAGAGGAAAGGTGAGAGGAAAAGGGAAAACAAAAATCAGCCCCCATTGGAATCCTTCTTCCAAATCTCACTTTCCTTACCAACCCAGCCAGCATTAATTACCTACATTAATTACCCAAAGCCAACCACAGGACACTGTGGAGTTTGAGAGTCTATTTGTGCATCAATCACACTGTGCAGACTCCACTTCCGCAGGGCAGAGTAATGCAGTGTAGAACCCACAAACAGAAATGGCCTTGGAAGCACAGGCAAAATCTTCTCCAGTATAGAAGAGAAAAAACCCATGGCCTTCCTGTGACTCTACATTGTAACACACACACACACACACACACACACACACACACACACACACACACACAGAGGCTTTTTTTCCCGGCTAATATGTGTTTTACCTGATTTTCCCCCTTCGTCTCCTATATCCCCTTCTAACACTTTAATTAAACAGTGTCTTCATAATTCACTTCCATATCTGATAAAAATAGCCCTGCCTCATCATCCATCTTTTTCAACACTTTATTGCTCTTCTTCCTAACCAATTACTTACAGCGATTTAAAAAAAAAATTAGTAATGTTAGCACAAGCTAGATTGAGTCACACTGGGAATTAATAAGATGTATATACCTAGTATTAGTTCTGAATTTCTTGCTCAGAGATTGTAATTTCCTATAGACTGGGGAAACAGGAGCATCTTTTGTTCTAATAGTCGGTCTTCATTCTTTTTTTTTTTTGGGTCCGGTTGTGGGGCCTGAACTCTAGGCCTGGGCACTGTCCCTCAGCTCTTCAGCTCAAGGTTAGTGCTCTACCACTTGAGCCATAGTGCCACTTCCGGCTTTTTTCTTTTTGCTTATGTGGTGCTGGGGAATCGAACCCAGGGCCTCAGGCATGCAAGGCAAGCGCTCTACCACTGAGCCACCTTCCCAGCCCTCGGTCTTCATTCTTAAAACCTTTGGGATGTGTGGAGTGGTTGTAGTATCTTCTTATATTATTAATACAATGCCTGGTGCCTGGGGCTGCAGACAGTTTTCATGATGGAGATTTATCTGGATGGTTAGAGGACAATATGGAGTCGTGATTAAGAGACTCACTTGCAATCCTTCTCTGGCCTGGGGAGGGGAAGAGGGCTTTAGACTGAGTTCATCACCAATAGCCTCTGATTTAATTAATCACACCTATGGACCTTTAATAAACCCCCTGGAATAGGTTTTGAGGTCTTCCTAGGTAAGTGAACATGGCAGATGATAAGAGATGAAATGTTCAAAGGGAGCATGCAAGTTCTACATCCCACCCCATTTACCTTACCCCAAGTACCTCTTCCATTTGCCTCTTTATTATGGAGCAGTAGTGACGGTGAACTCCTCTGAGTGATGGAAGCTGAAATAGCAGACGATCGCTCCACAGACAGGCTCAGAGAAACTACCAATGCAGAGCTGGCTGTCCAGGAGCTGAGGAGGCCTAGGGCGTGTGATTGGCGTCTGAAGTTGGAGCCGTCTTATGGGACTGAACCCCTGGCTTGTAGGATCTGATACAAACTCTAGACAGATGATGTCAGAATTGAATCTTAGGACCTTGCTGGTGTTGAGTGATGGAAAATGACTTGAACTGCAAGCACTCACCTTTCCCCGACAGCCAGATCTTAGAACTTTGCTTGCTGCCCACAGCCTCACCCTCTCCCCTACCCTGCTCCCAAAGAGGATGCATGCAGTGGTCTTGGAAGGAAGCCTGAGACCAAGGTCCTGACTGATGCTAACGCCCTCTGGTGGACACAGAGGCTATTGAGACCTTGGTTTCTCCTCCGTCTGTAGCTGACCCACCTGGCTCCACCTCACCAGGCTTCCATCTACCCCCCCTGAATCCACTCTTTCTACCTCATATTTAAAGAGATCCTAGTGGTAAGGTGGAGGGGAGGCATCTTTCCCCTTCAGCCAGGCTGTAGGAGACTTGGTTACTCTTCTCAGGCTTTCCTCTCAAATAGAGCCTGTTGATCTGAGTTTGCTGTTTCAGCTTTCTCTTTTCTTACACCGAGGAGCTGGCTGGCATAGAAGAACTGGTGGTGGTGAGGAACCCCCATACTCTTGGCATCAGAAGTATTCTTCTAACAGATCCTAGATAGGACCAAAAAAACCCGACATGTCTTGAACTGTCATTTTTCTAATAGGACACTTGAATAGGAAAATTCATGATTAATCATCTACAGGCCAAGAGTGGACAACGGAAGATATTTCAACCTGTCTTCAAACTTGTATTTTCACACATGAAATAAATTATCACTAAACCACTCTCTTTGAGTGATTTCTAATTATGACGGGGCAAAGGGTAGTCATGTATAATGAACGCCATTGCCAATTGCAATTGGAGACCAACTGCCCAAACTATTAAATATAAAATATACTAGCAGCAGTAGAGGGGTCTTTACATTTGTTTGCTTACTGATCAATTGGTACTGAGACTTGAACTCAGGGTTTTGAGTTTTCGCTCAGCTTTTCTGCTTAACGTTGGTGCTCTACCACTTGAGCCACCTCTCTAGTTTCAGCTTCTTGCTAGATAACTGGAGAGAAGAGTCTCAGATTTGTTTGCAGGGTTGGCTTCAAATCATTATCCAGATAGCAGCCTCCTGAGAAGGATTATAGATGTGGGCCACTGACACCCAGTAAGAGCTCATTTTTTTAACCATACATTTTTGTGGGAAAAGTTACTTAGTAATTAGTACTACAATATTAAGTACTAACTACTTAGAATTATTTTATTATCTCATTTAATCAATATAAAAAACTAAGCTATTAAGACCATTGTTCCATTTGATAAAAAAAATTAGAAAGTCTCAGGAATCTGATTAGTTGCTCAGTCACACAACTGCGAAGAAGCATACCCAGAACAGAAAAGATACTCAAGACTTCTCTCATTTATTTATCTAGTTTGTCAGTCATGGGGCTTGAACTAGGGCCTGGGCACTGTCCTTGAGCTCTTTTGCTCAAGGCTAGCACTCTACCACTTTGAGCCATAGCTCCACTTCCAGTTTTCTGGAGGTTAACTGGAGATAAGAGTCTCAAGGACTTTCCTGCTTAAGCTGGCTCTGAACTGTGATCTGAGGATCACAGTGATACTCAGACTCCTGAGTAGTTAGGATTTGGCGTGTGAACCACCAGCACCCAGATCTCTTATTTTCTTAATAAGCAAGGATAAGCACAGAGAATTCCAGTGAATCTTTATGAATATACACAAATAATACTCTAAACCTTAAAACTCATATGGATTATAGGATGGGAGGCTTCCAAGATCTGTTCGGGAAGATGGAGGATGCATGCCACAGGATTCCTGTGTGTTCAAGTGGTTGACTATTTAATAACAACATTTCCCAAGGCTGTAGCTATAACAGCTTAATTAGTATTTACAGATGTGAATTGCTGCGAAATCTTTATAATGTCACAATGTTTGTTCCCCTTCATCAGGGTGCAGCAAAAGGAAAGAATACACCACAATTAGCCACCTCCACTAATGATAAATCCATTTCTTACTCATTTATATCAAGAAGTCTCCAACTGTGCAAAAGGGAGAGAATCCTTCAGCTTAAAAAAAAATAAAAGAAGGCTGGGTATCAGTTGTTCACACCTGAAATCCTAGCTACTCAGGAGGCTGAGAGCTGAGGATTATGGTTTGAAGACAACCCAAGTAATAAAGTCTGTGAGATTCTAGCTCCAATTAGCCACCCAAAAGCCAGAAGTGGAGCTGTGACTCTTATTAAAGACCTATTAGAAAAAAAACTATTTAAAATGCCCTCCTGTTACAGTGGCAGTAATAAATTAACTAAGATGACATGCTGGTTAAAAGATGAAACTTTTGAATTCAACAGTGATTCTCACTAGACACTATGTTGGAAATGAATGTTACAGCTGGTGGGGGAGAGAGGGGGTGGGGAGAAAATAAGGAAGAGATAACACTGTTCAAAAAGAAATGTACTCATTACCTGACATATGTAACTATAATCCTCTGTACATCATCTTCACAATAAACTTAAATGTATTTTTAAAATCCACAAAAAATAAAACTTAAAAATAAACAAATTTAACTTCTATGCTAGAGTAAATATTATTATTGGTGTTTATGTAAGTAAGCTTGTTTACTTCTTAACATTCCTAGGAGCAAAGCCACCGATCAAAAGGAGAAAAAAAATATACAGTGCACATAGCTTCAAAATGATGGATTTAATAATTCCAGAAACTATTTCTAACAACTACAGCAAGCAAGTAATCAGTTTTCAGTACTGTTGACAGGGACTTTCCAAACGGATAATTCTCCTATTACATCCCAAAGAAAAAGAACACAACGTACAAGATAAGAGAGGGAGGGAAAAATCCCCAGGAATTAGTGACTAATTCAACCCCACAAGAGTAGAGGAAAACAGTACACATGCTTCATTAAGCAAAAGAAAGAAAATAGGAAGATTCAGGAAATCATAAGCCATTGCTAACACCTCTGACCATTTTTCTGCATTGAAGTAATATGGCTTAGATGACTGGCAGACACAAAAATACAAGCGACAAGAAGGGAAAATTAGACTGTTCTCACAACATTTGCAATTTAAAAACTTAAATAGTAGAACAAAGATCATGTGGTACATTTCAAGATCATGTGCTATATTTCAAGCCTGTTTCCAGAAGGGTATTTGAAGATTGTCAACTGTATCACACCCACATTTTGTATTTTTATCATATCCTTCAGATAACATTAGTTCAATAATCTCCTACAACACAGTATATATAATATGCCATGATTCTGAAATAAAACACAGGAAGAAAATATGTACCTTTTCCAGATGAATGAAGTTGTGAATCCCCTGATAGTTAAAATCCCATGTATAAAAGAATCTTACATTTATTCTACATTATCATTGTGTGCGTGCAAATTATCTGGTTTTCCAGATAATTTGGAATTGTTTTTTAGCCAATATCCGTTCAAAACCTCTATTTCTTAGGTGATGAGAAGAGTTTGAATATTTCCTTCGAGACAAGGAATAAAAAGTAAATACACTCTGGGCCAGTAACATACCTTCAGCTGCTTTTCTAGAGAACACTTAACTGGGCTCTTAAGTGGATCACACGTGTAAGCTAGTTATGCAGGAGACTGAGAGATGTGAGGATTGTTGTTCAAAGCCAGCCGAGGAAGGAAAGTCTGTGAAGACTTTTATCTCCAATTAACTTGCAAAGAGCTATGGATCCAGTGAAGAGCTCCAGCCTTGAGTGAAAAGCTAAGGGACAGCGCCCAGCCCTGAGTTCAAGCTCCAGTATCTGCAACCAACCAACAACCTCACCACTTTAGACTGCAAAGCCAGCAAGTTTGCAAACTAGAATGCCTAAAACCAGCAGGGTTTGAAATCGCCACAGACTCTTCACTAAAGCTGAAATGCAACTGATGGGTGACGAAAATGGGATAAAAAGCTGAGGATCCCTGTCTTTGACAGACACTTTGTGTCTGTCCTGTTGCTGTCTCAGCCTTTGCAGATACAAAACTTTTGTATAATCATTCCAAGGTCTCATGGCTGAGATTGTTTCTAGGACGAATAAGACTTCTCCTTAACATGAACTGCCAGTTGAGCTTCTGATGCTATCTATGGTTTTCCCTACAGGCTTCCGAACAATGGTTGAGAAATTTATTTTAAAAGCAAATTAACATCAATATATAAAGTGGAATCACATTGTATATATACCCTTTCACTAATCGATGGGCACTGGGGTTGATTTCCATTGTTTGGCTTTGAAATGCTTTCATTGGACATGTTTTCATTTCTCTTGAATACAGAACTGGGACTGAATTTGCTGAGTTATATGATAACTCTACCGTAAGCTATCGAGAGCCTGCTCATGATATACTTACTCTGTCAGTTTATATAAAGGTTTATATGCTAAGTGCTGGCCATATTTAATGAGAAAAAATATTTCCTGATGAAATACTCCTGACTGTATTTTATGTGACACAAGAGCTAGATGTGTCCATTGTATCATTGACCTGTACAAATCGATGAGCTTGCTTTTCTTGTTGTAATTAATTTGTTCTGAATTATTGCCTGGTAAGGTGATGGTAAATATTGATTATGTACTGTATCTCTCAGGATGCTGGCAGGATGAATTTTCAATGTTTTCACTATAATGAGATGGTAGAGGTGGGGTTATGCCAACATGTCGGGACCCCTGGGTTTGGTTTCTAGCAAACAGCACCCCTTCTTCCACACGCAGACTGTCCATGCACCAAAGATAAGTTTAACAGCCTTTAAAAAGAGCTAAAGAAATCCTTATCTCCCAATATAATTTACCAACTTTCAAACAAAAATCTCTGGGATTTTCCAGTGACTAATGGGTCCTTTCATCTGCATCCAGAAATGATCAAATGGAAAAACATTCCAAACTTTAGCTGCTTGGAAGGGACTTTTTTTATATGAAAAGTGAATAATTTGGGCTGAAGTCTACCACACAAAATAGTTCAGAAGTGAAAGAGCTTTCACACTGGCTTTTATTTTACTGATAGAAATTGGTTCACCCTCTCCTTGCCTGAATACAAACACATTCCAAATGCAAGTTGTATTTAAGATGGAAATATGCTCTCAGTAGTGGTATGTCCCTGAAAGCAGAAGACAGCAACTGGTTTTGGTTCATGCTATTTTCAATTGGAATTAATTATTTTTAAACTATGGATACATATGATATGAT